TTGGTTTTACACTGAAATTATAACCCCTTAGACCCTTTCATTAATTGCCATCAAAGTATAAACATAATCAAGAACAAAGACTCATAAATTTTGATTACGAAATTAAGGGACATTGAAATTGTACAAGAAGCTTGATTTGAACTTTTTTATATTTTTGTATTATTTATATATATTCGTGTATATTTTTTGAGAAAGAGACTGCTTCCAACTTTTCCGCTCATTATTTTTCCACCGAAATATTTATTTATCGCAAAATAACACTTTTCCTTTTCGCTACATTTTCCCTTTCCATTCCCTTTGCCGAGAATATTGAATTTCAATTTAAGATTATTTTATTTTCTTACACCCTTTAGAGAACGCTTTCCTTCACATTAGCTGTTGTAAAAAATACGAAAATGTTTATTATTATCTAGTACCTTATATAGATTATTCTAAATCATTATTTACTTTTTAAATTTCATAAAGTGTGACTAATTATATTAGTATGTATTTGTACTTTAGTAAAATTTTCATTATATAATCAAATTGTCTATAAATTTACTAATAATTTATTATCTCGAGTCTAAAGGGCCTAAATTAGTTTTCACAACTTAAATCATATTTTGATGTAAATTTATATATAATTTTAATCCGCTTAGCATCTTCTTTAATTTAAATTACAAGTCGTTGTAATAATTATTTTATTATATCAAGAAAATAAAAAGTAACTTTATAAGGGAGTTATAATTACAGCGCTTTTTATATAAAAGCGGATCAAGGGCGAAGAAGTAATGCTTCTAGCTAGTTCCTGCTTTTTTTTCCATCAAAAGTTTTCTGAGTGTATGAAACAGTTTACGAGTATACAGGGTGACTGGTCACCCTGTATAAATTCAGTTTGCTTTCCAACATAGGACATGTTTGGCTACTGAGATGAAGTCAAGTTTTTTGGTCATGATAATATTATTTTCATCTGCATTAATTTTCTGTTAAATGATGTCATTAAAATGTCTCCTATTTAAACTCTTTTCGTGGTGAGGTAGAAGCATAGGCTATTTGCAAGTCTAAGTGGCTGGCGTTGATCCAAAACGTTTTTCACAATAATCTGGCCGCGACGGCTATATTTTCAAGACAATTAAACCAGCAGGGGCTTGTTATGGAGCTGTAATGTACCGTTTACCTTGACTCAAAAATAAATAGTACTTTCCAGTTACCCGTATACACTTAATTAACTGCAATTTATAGCCAGTTTGAAGAACAAGGACATTTCATACGTTGCAGTAGTTGAATATGATATAATTTATTCCTTACTACAAGTATTTTTTATCTTAAAAAACACCCTATATCAAAAAATCACAATTAGTTATTCCAGAGTACAGCATGAAGTGATGAATTGTTTGTTGTTTCAATAAGAGAATGAGAGAAATGGGTAACGTTTAACAATATCTATATCTTTTTTATATCAAACCGATATTTTAATAGTAAGCCGAATAATTTTAAATTTATTGAAAAAATTATAATTAAAATTGTTCGACAACAACAGTATTCGAACCTAGAAACTCTAAACCTCAGTTAAACTGTAGTGTCTTATATAATAGTGGTTGTTAAGCCATTGCATGTATTTTTCATTGTTAAATCTCTGTGTTATAAAATTACATAAGCATAGATATTTCTTTGCACTTTCATTTGATTTTACTAGTTTATACTCAATTTAAATAAAAAATATTGATTAAGGAATAAGCCATAGATGTTTGTTGAAACAAATGGAGACATTATTTTCTATCTTATACTAAGATAAAGTGATTCGATAATGTCGTAAATGTAAATTTATTTCGACGTCTGGGCCACGAACTATTTACATAAAACCGGCTTGAATTTTAATGACACGTCACTCAAAAGACTACCGACCTCGCAGCCCATGTCTAATTCAATAGGTCATTCACAGACCGAATAATTTGATTACTTTTTTACATCTAATATGCATTAAAAACACTCAATCATATTATTATAATAAAAAGTTATTTTCTTTGGAGATGACATCAATACTACGAATCAGATTGTTGGAAATCTGTATCGTAAATTTTCTATCATGCAATTTTCTCCACAAAACCTATCAGGACTATCAAGGCTAGCAACCGTAAAAAAGCTATAACACCGCGATACTTTTACGAATTCGATAATATAAAACTAGTTTTACTTACCAAAAGCCTAGATTTCCTTTTAAATATAAGTATTGTTTTCCTTAATGGTCAGTATATTACAAATAATCGCTTTTATTGATAGCAAATTGCTCCAATTAATCCATATTCACGCATCAACTGGTTTGTTATCCAAATTTCATGTCAAACTAATTACGTAAATAAATACTTAATTAATGATATGTACCGCAAACTTTATGTTTCATTATTGTATAAACACAACGAGTTTGTTATACTTTTGATGTTTTGGTTCTCTCAGTCTTTCTGCAGTATACTCGTATCTTAGTTAAATGATAATATAAATTAAAAAGCAAAAATATCCCGAGGTTCCTACTTAAAATCAACGGTTCGTCAGTTGCTATTGCTGTGACATTATATTCCATTTACCGAAAATGGATATTATTATTTCTCTTGAGATTCTGTATGCTCACCCTAATCCAAAAGTTAACATCGTCAAAATCAGGAGCGGAAGTCTTTCAAATAACACACCTCAATATACATTTATCCTTATATGATCGCCTATTTACGTGTAAATAAAAAATATTTTATATGTATATATCGTTTCAATTACTATTATTTGAATAATCAATAATTGAGGGTAGTTAAATTATCAGGTGTCACCCGCATAACCCACTGCGTAGCCACCTCTGCAAGTGTAGTCACTACAATGAGTGTTGGTTGGTATAAATAGAGGCGAGAGTACATATTATAGAAGTCTCGCTCGAGCTGTTTCTGGACCTCTACGAAACGTCACTCTAAAAAAACACGTTTTAACACCGACAAATACTATTTTTATTCAATGATCTTCTTCATTTCATATTAAAGATAAACCACAAAGCTTTCACGTTGATAACATGATATCTGAGATCCAGTTGCGAGTAAACAACTTTATAAATGAGGTCTCTAACAAAAGATAATTTTAATGACCAGAATAGAAAAGGTACAGATATAATAACGATATCAAATTATTGATACATATAAAGATGTGACATTATTAAACTACTTTTTTGTTGTTAGGGTCACATTTTTAGTACCTTCCAATTGAAATAGCACTTTTATTTAATTCTCAACAATATTTATAGGTAAATTAGTTTATATATGACTAATGGTAAAACTAACAGCTAAAAAATCTCTTTATGTTATAATTAATGTAGCTTTGTTCTTTGATTATTTTTATTGGAAGAGTAAAATTATGTTTTCGAGGCCTTTTCTTGTGATGTGGTCTGGCTTGAAAACGTTATACATATGTCGGAAAATCTACGAAGTGATAAGACACGACACAAAGCTTTAAAAATATTTTTGTCTCGAGTCTAAGTCAAAAGTCTAACACACTCTACTACACAATTTTTTTAGAGAGTAGGAATCTAATGGTACTTATATAAGTTTTGAAATCTTTTAATTCTAACTAAGGATTTTTTTACATTGCTTTTCTATTAATGATTTTAGATTATTTTTTTTCAAATATAGTTTTAAAAAATAATCTTTTTTCTCCACCTCTGTATCTTTATCTGAGACGAAGAAACCCATAGAAATTATAAAAGTGTGAAAACTAATAAAATTAATACTTTAACAAACTAATGTTACAACAAAATCAATAAAGTGGCATTATGAATGAATTCAATTTTATATATGTACATTTATTTTGTACTCATATTATTTTAATATATATTTTTTTAACAGAAAACATAAAATAAAACGAACATTTTATCTATATTAACAAAAATGTTAATTTAAATTCGTTTGTGATGTCTTTTATCTGACTCCCTAATTATCATATACCGTGTAAAGTAGACAACTGGAAGTCTGCTTTGAAGTGCCATTCTAAAAGTCTGTTGTCATTAAAGCTGTCTGCACACTTTAAACAGTCTTACAATATATAAAATAAGAAATATTACTGACATTATAAATTTACAAGACTTATATTTGATACCTATCAAGTTTTGACAAAACGTGTATTAATTTCTCATCTTTAAATAGCAGCGGAAAGGTGTATAAAAAGACTATAACGAATATTCTATCTACCAAATGAAATAGAACGGAGAATTAATCTATTAACTAGAATATAAAGTCGTGAATGTATAGCAGCCCTTATTTCGCGTGTTCATTCACTACTAAAGGAACGTTGGACGGAATGACCGTAAAACACGCAGTTAAGTATCACTCGGGACCATTAAAACTTTGATTTTAACAAAAAAAAACGTAATCTTTATGACATTGTGAACATCCAACGGATTTAATGAGTTAAAATATATAAAATAAACTGGATCTAAGTGTTTAAAATTTAGCCCGTCGATAATATTGTCATATAGGAGACTAAAAAAATATTTATTTTAGTTACCGACAAATATAAAAAGTATATATTTCAAAAAATATAATTTCAAACACCTATAATTATTGAATTTAATAGGATAACAATACAATGTAAATACCATTATTGTAAAGAGAAATTAATATTGATAAATAAAGCAAATATTATTACTGATTATTATTGTAACTTGATAATGTTAATAAAACGATATGAAACTTAAATATTTAAAAAAAAAATATTTAAGTTTACTTGTGAAAACTGACTTAAATAAATAAATGAATTAAATAAATTTTTATATGTTACTGTTAGATCACTGAATGGTTATTCTCAAATGTTATAAGCCCTTGTTAATTGGGAATAAGATATTAAATCCATTATAATTTTTAAGGATAAATATTTAGAAATAGAAACTGGAAGACAAAAATTGAGAGAATAATGAAAATAAATTTAAATTTGTAGTTACGATAGAAGAATTGATATTATTGCTTTGAATATGTAATTAGAATATTAATGCTTACCAGTAGATCTTTGAGGGTCAATCTGTGCGTGTAGTATTGAAAACCCTGGTGCGATGATGGCCGGCAGAGTTCTTGATCGCAGGAGCGGAGGAGGTGCCTTGCGACATACCAGCACCTCCGGGCCAGATGTAGCCGCCGCACTGAGGAAATAAACATATATGATTATATAACTATACTGAATAACACTCTAGAACGTGTGTTAAGATGGATTAAGTTCATACGAAATTTCAATTAACCTATAATCACCCTATCAGAGCCCACTATCGAGGAAAGGCCTCGGCTCACATGGAGAAAATTTGAGTATTAATCACCATGCATGCATGCTGGAGACTTGTTGGTGATTTCAAATTTATAATTAGAAATTATAAGTCCAGATTTCCTTACGATGTTTTCTTTCACCGTCTGTCAGTGAAGTCTAAATACTCTATGAAAGAAGAACACATGACTTGGAAAAATCACATTGGTACTTGTCAGGTTTTGAACCTGCGCCCTCATGTATGAGAGGCGGCCTTTAACCTCTAGGCCACCACGACCACATTTAAATAACATACCAAAATTATTCGGTGTAACTATAAAATTGTTTTTTCTCATAGAAAAATTCGGACCTAAGACTTATCGTTGTTTATTTTAATATGATTAACCTACATTCGTCTAATCTTATTGTAAGTACAAAATACATACGTTTCATGTTAACATACATTTTGATTTATTTAAAAACTTTGCTGATAGTGTTGCCAGGATATAAAGAGAGTCAGATGTCTCAGTTCAATGCATAAAATGTAAAGAATACTGAGCTAGACATTGGCAGTTTTAGGTCACGAGAAAAATTGTATGTGATTTTTAAAATTGAATTTATATTATAAAATTGATACAAGAATTTATTGGTGTTTTTAAAGATTTTTCATGTTGTGTTAATGAGGGTTAACATCATATTGCACGAGAATATGATTTAATGAGATTTACAAGTAAATATTTTAACAATGTTGCAGGTGTTGACCTGAAATTTATTTCTTTCTTTATTTGAGTTTTATAGTTCTGTATTTTTGTTTAATACATAAAAAACAGATTTATTTATTTATTTTAAATAAATATATTAAAAAAAAACAGATTTTTATTCTTTAAACTCTTATTGAATTAAAAATCTTTTCAAGGGACTGCGAAACATGTTTTATTCTTTATTCTAAAACGGTTAAATTAAAAATATGTCTTATATAAAAATTTTGATACTTTAAATCGTATAAAAGTAAAAAAAGAATAATCTAAAATATTTCCATGACAGCTTATTCAATGATATGTTTTAACTATTGTTATAAAAATACTCATATATAAATACTTAGTATTTTATAAAATAAGTTTTTTTTTGTAAGCATGTATTATGTGACAAGCCTTATCTTATCTTATTATGGTAAAGTTTTTGACAGAGTTACTCATCTACACTATGAGATATGATGGATTGTAAAATATAAATATATTCATAGAAAAAAATATGGCTTTTTATAAAATGAAAATTGTTACTATTAGTAATAATTTAGTTATTTAGCTATAGTTATAAGTATTCATCCTGTTTATAATTTTTTCATATATAATTCCAAACTTGAGTTGATCTTATAGATTTAGATGTTTGAGCTTGAAAAAATAAATTACCTAATTCTCCTTATAACTCACATTGCAACCAATTCAGTCAACTGCTGCGTACCTGAATAAAAATACTCCATTTCAATTTCAAGTAATTGTCAAGAGCACTTGTGACTCTTGAAATATCAGTTAGAAAAATCTGCTACATGTTAGAACACTGTCTGTTACAGCAATATACGTTGAAAGATTCTTAGTATATAGAGAAATAACTGGATTGGTGTTGAATTTTATATTTAATATATTTTTTTCAGCTTAATCCAGATAAAGATATATATGATTGTAATATTACGTTTTAAATTCTAAGTGAAAGTAGAGATTATATACAGTAATAGTTACCTTTTGTTTTGATTTCTTTATAATATAAGATTTCGATCAAAACATTATTAATTTGGATTGTTAATAGGAAAAATATTTGTGGCGCAATTTTGAAATATTTCGAGAGTACTAATAATATTTTTGGATTTAAAAATATGAAGCGTTATGTTTTAACCAAAAAACATTCATATATTTCAAATAAAATTAAAAAGGGATTCTTAACAAAGCTGGAAATAGAAAATTGATATTATGCAGTAAAAACAAAGATGATTGCTTTCTGAAATTATTTATGGAAATCGTCTATTCATTTCGGAAAATTCATTCTATTTTATTCGTCTTAACTCGTTTAATAAATATCATCCTAAAATAGCTTTTGTTGTTAAACACAACAGTGATGTACATTAATTAATAATTCAGAATAATTAATGTAAGTTAAACTCAGTAAGAATAATTCCGTGAAGAAAGTCCAGATATTTCAGCTTCAGTCTATTTTCTTAACTTAGTGGTGAAGTGCGATGCATTTTTACTAACAGACTTTTCGATGCTTTTAAGAAAGTTTCTAACGATTTAGAGGCTAAGTTTAAATGTTAAAATAAAATGCCGTTTCGTTGTACTAAAGTGAACATTTTCATTGTATTTTGTTTGGTAGATATTTTGCTACACATTTGTTAAAGTAAACAGATATTTTTTAAATTTTCTTCTAAGGAATATATTTATAAAACCTTTAAAATGTTTACTATCTACAAATACAAAAAAATGTCATAATTTCAATTGATAAAATATGAAATCAAAAGATCGATTATCGTAATGGAATTAGTAAAAAAATTACGAGTAGCAAGATTTCTGGTAATATCTATACATCAGTATTTTCTGTTTGACTTGTTACACTTTCTGTAACGTTTTCATTTTCATGTGTAGTCTCGGAAACTAATGGTTCAGTTTCTTGTGGCGTTTCAACAGTACTCGATAAACTCTCATTTCCACCACCAGATGACACCTCTAAGCTTCTTCTGTTTATTAAATCTATGGGAACGACATCGCGATTATCCTCGTCAAACCGTTTCTCAGATTCAAGTTTATTTTGTTTCTGACAATTGCTTTTCACCAGTGACGCACCTTAAAAGAATATATATTTTTTGTCGATGACCATAATAGTTTTCAAAATATTCCTGTCTAAGATATCTCACCGTTAAACAAATATTGAAGACCTGGTACGTGTATGTTTCCATCACCAACACCAAGTTTTATGTTACTCTTACCGACGTTAGATATTCCAGTAGCATTAAGATCCAACGTACTATTGCCTATAAAGACAAGATAATACATATATAAAATATTTCCAACTAGTAGCTTTAAACAGATAATACGAAAGTTTATTTAAAATCTGTAGTCAACCTGAAAGAATTACAAGAATCCAAACACTCAAATTTATAGCATTAGTCGAGATTATAAAGCCAGTATTACCGGATTCGCCAAATTTAAGTTGTAAATCAGTTTCTCCTATTCCAACGATTCCGCTTGCTTTCAATTTCAAATCAACGTCACTTGGTAATAATTTACAATCATTAGCATCGCTGGTGATTTCTTTTAGGCTTTCAGAACGATCGGTTCTTTTTCTTTTTTTATCTCGTACTTCTTTTAACTTATTCTCTAACTGGAAAACAAAATATCGGTTACATAATTTATCTTTTATATATAGTTTACATTAAATTTATTTAAGATAATAATGAGTGGTTAACAATACTTCATTACGTGTTAAAGTAAAAAAGAAATTATACATGAAAGGCCAATTTTTGTTTTGGTAAACATGGCCGTTAATATAGCGTCGCAAATGTCTTCAATACATACAATTCATTGATAATGAAGGTTTTTATATTCCATTACCAAAAGCATAATAACGAAGTCCGAAGCCTGACGACGATTTACATAATTACGTTTTGTAACCACAAAAAGGCTGTAGATATTAAATTAAGGAGTTGTTCCGGTAATAACGATTACCATACTAAGTAGAATATCTTTTTGTTCCAGGAATGCTTCGTCCACTAAGTCGTTTCTTCTTTTCGGATCCAAAATTTGCTTGGGAATTTTTGCAGATGTAGAATTATCACTTGTACTTCTGACGCAATTTTCATTATTACTGCTAAATATAATCTGAACAGCAGATAATATTATATTAAAATTTCATTGGTTACACATATAAATTCCTCATTAATTAAAAAGTTAAAAGCTCAAATTAAAATATATATATTTAAGTAAGTATTTATATTAAAATTTTGGTTATTATAATGAGGAAATAACTTGATATAGTCCGGTAAAATATATAAATTATAAAAAGAGTAGACTTTAAATACAAAAATACTTTTAAAAGTACGATATTACAATAACGAAATTCAGTGATTGCTTTCCAATTCTTCGAGAATATAGCAGATTATAAATAAATATTTAATTAGAAAATGTCCATCAACCGTAACTATAGACTCGTACACAAAATATAATTTGTATTCTCGACATTGTCAAACCGTTTACCAAATTCATTCCAATTTACATTTTAAACGAATTTACTCTACAAATCGGCAGGGTCTGACAAATTTAATTTTAAATGTCAATGAAATAGAAGGAATTTACGACACTCGGTAACAAAACGACATGAAAATCAACTCTTAAGTTGACATGAAAAATAAATCATTTGAATCGTAAAAAAGGATGTTGATCCCAACTTTATACCTATGTATCGAACTTTATTGAAGGAGTTTCTCTTTGGCAATATTAATATTTTTTATATCTCGAAAAAGTATACACAAATCACACCAATCTCTGATGATTTCTGAGAATAGTTAATACATACCAATACGACTATAGTCAAAAATTTATTAAGGTCAATTTTAAATGGTTTAAAATTTAAATCAAACTACCAATACATAATAATAAGCTATTTGATAAGATCTCAAAATAATTGACTGAAAATACAATATCAAATACTTAAATACCTTTTAAACATATCAAAGATAATGAACCAATTTATGTAATAACTTCAACGTATACAATAATAAATGAAACAAAACTTTTTAATACATACCAGAATAGCGAGTGGTAAATACGCAAGTGCCATTCGTGTGTTTTAACTGTTCCAGACGGCGAAATACCTCATGAGCATGAATTTTACGAGCCGTTACAGAAATCGAAGTTTATAAATAAATACAATTTAAATGAATTTTATTACTGTACACGAGGCATGCGGCCACAGATGAAGAAAATTCGTAAGGACATTTAATAAAACGCAATCACACTGCTTTCTTATTGACACCAATAATTCAGATAATAATTAAATAATATGGAAAATTTAAAACTGCTGATTAAATGGTTGTTAAGATTTGTATTATAATATATAAATTTTAAAATACATTCTTATTATAGAAAAAGAAAAATGAATATGAAGAGAATATATTTCGTTAGTGACATCTAATCTCGTCTTTCCAAGAACAGCGATTTTACTGCAACGTAGCCCAAAGAAAAACGTCACTAGACAAGTTCGTTTAGTAATAAATTGTTTATTCTAGCTTATATCAATATTAACAATATTTAAAGAAAACAATAATAATAATAATAATAATGTTTTTTTATGTTATTTAGGTTATAATAATTAAATAAAATGAAAAGTTTTACGAATCCGTGTATTTGTTTTGGAGTAAAAGTAACTTAATTGAACAGAACGCTTCCAAGTACTTAAAACGTTACGCGCAGACTATCATGTGTAGAGTTGAACGATCTTATGAGGATTAAAGATATTCGATAAACGGAATAGCGTTCCTTGACATGCTTTGTAATACAAATATAATATTTTCATATATAGATTTTTCCGAGTCATATGTACTTTCTAAGATTATTCAGACATCACTGATTAATGCATTCTCAAAGAGGGATGATGTCAGGCAGGCGGCCGGTGGAAAAACAATTAGCCAAAACTATTCATAACATGTAAGCCAGACCCTGGCTAAAGCTGGGAAACTGCCAGGTAGAAGAAGATAGATTCATAGAAACATATTAATGATAGTTTTTTGTACAGCTCTATTAAAATTGCATATATCCTTCTGCAATAATGCTAAAAATGCTTATTTGGAAAATTAATAATATAAAAGTAAACATAGACAATTGAAATTAAGTTAATATTTGGACAAAGTTCTTGAATATAAAAGCTGTATTATGATGGATGTAAAGAAATATTTACGAGCTCAACAAAGAATAGCTGGAAGTAAACAAAATAGCGTCAAAAGAAATAACAATACATCAATTTATGAACATCTATTTCACAATCGTAAGCCATAAAACTGAAATCCAATAAACGGTCAAATTGATGTTACAAAATGGTCTAAATTAGATTTTTGCTCAATCGAAAACTCTTCTTTATTCCTTTTGGTTGTGTTATAAGGAATACAGCGAGTTCGAAGTTAAATACGGTATTAAAACTTTTATTTAAGTCTACTTATTTAGGGAACTTTATTTATATCCATTATATTATGGCTTATATAAATAAGCTTTTCAGAACACTCAGTTAAATTTAGTGAATAATCTCTAAATTAATTTCAAATGACTTAAAACCCCTGCTGAGTTTCAGACTTTAATAGACTTTGCATCCTCTTTGAATTTATTTCGTAGAAGAATTTTCTTTTATAATAACTTATAATATATTTTATTTCATACTTAAGGTCAAAATGAACTATTTAATCATTCCATTACTGGCGGGAATGGTAAGTGCCAGGTATCAGCAAGACTTTCTCAGACCATTTAAAACTCTTCCCGGTAACTCCCTGGTGAATTTGGGGAAAATTGACATATCATTCTATATTAATCCCCGTCATCAAGGTAAGTATGAATGTAAATATTACTTAAATAAGATTTATTCAATTGAATTAAGTTTATAAGAATGATAGTAGAAGTATGCCAAATGCCAGGTCTCACAGACGTTCATAATAGGGTATTATATAAAAACTGTTCTTTACAAATCTAATTTGGACTACGTTTTTGCTAATAAAATGTTATTCAAGATCCGTAATTCTATTATATAAACTCTTCTAGTTTTATTAATTTCAGGACTAAATTACTCTCGCTGGTCCAGACAACTCATTAGTGCTTACTTAATTGTTAAAGATATTCAATTTCATACGTTATTTAATATGTAAATCGTTATAGTTCTGTTTTTTTAACAAATTAAAATATATCTTCAATACAATGAGCAACAAACGGATTAATATTTAATTGTTTTGATTATTTAATTCATAAAAATAAGAATGTAATGAAAATTGTTGAAATATGTATGTCTACATACTGCGTCGTATTTATATATTTTTATCACACATTACGTTTTATTATTTGACATAAATACGGTAATAGATCATTGCTTGATAATTATTTTTGTTATTTTAGATTTACCAGCAAAATCCGAGGAGATAAACCACGGGCCTCTGGTCACGACAATGGAAGGACCTTGTCCCTGCTCTAACTTCAAGATGGTTAAAGACACGGCCAAAAACCCATCAGACATACTAGGAAAAATCCTGTCTGGAAATGATTTGTTCAAGTATAAAGAGCCAATGTCTTCAATGTTTTGTTGTGATTCTCACGAGAATGTACGGGAAGAAATCATTTTGGAGTTCGGTCCGAAGAAAACACAAACAGTTGAGAACGCACATAATTCTTTCCCACTGCTACCATTCATTTTCGATAATTTTCAAAGACCAAAGTTACCATTGATGCCACCAAAGACCAGTGCAGTGGAAATTCTATTCTTTCCGAAAAACCAAGCCGTATCCAATGATTTTGGTAATGTTTTCGCACAGCGGAACCTTAAAAAGTTGAATGCTGTCAAAAAAGACACTATAAAGATCGTAGGTGATAAAGAAATTAGAAATGATATTAAATCCGGTCAATTCATCCCCCCAATACCATCATCGGTCAAAAAAGATTTAACCGGTCAATTTTCAACCACGGGAATAAAAGAAGAAACAACCACTCCTAATAATAAATCTAACAACATTTAATTTTCATCATATTTGGGAATAAGTATTTTTGTGACGTCATACATTAAATAAAGGAGATAGAAAATTCTTAATGAACTTCTTAAATGAAATCATTTTATCCACTTAGAAAGATAATAAGTCCTCAGAATTTTATTCGCAAACATTTTATTACAATGACGATTACATAAAACTTGAACGTGAGCTGAAAAGCTTTCTCGTTTTCATAAAATTAGATTACAATTTACACGCTTCTAATGGACCTTCACAATGAAATCTCGATATTTTTTTATTCCCATTTTTAAGAAAAATTAGGTAAAGATAATGCTAAATTTTAAAATAAACATGATTAAACTGAGTATTTTAAATAAAAGCGTCATTAATACTCGGTAGAATAACCTGGAACGTTGTCAAGAGACTTAATAAAACTCTGAAAAACTACTTTTATAGTCTAACTTTCCAACTCTTTACATAAAATTAAACCAGCTTATATCTTAGTAGCATTTAAAGTAATCCGTAAGTTTTGTACCATTTGGAAAAATATCAAAAAAAGTAGATGACATATATAATGAAGTTGTCTGTGTTTTACTTACTGTTTCTCTTTTCGTTGCTGTCTCTTCTTCTTAAAGGCTCTCTTGACTCTGAGAAGGAGAAAGGCCGCCCTGTCTATAGTTAGCACGGACGGCCGCTTGGCGGCGCTAGGCTCGTCCATCCCCTCCTCTTCATCAGCTGGTTCATCGCATAACTTCAGGCCGAGCCATTTCTGCTTCGTATTAGTTCTCGTCGTGGCGTCGGACGCTCAACACGAAAGATATATATTTTTGTTCCGAACAAAATCACTAGCAATTGACACTAAATCACTTTTTGGGACGGTTTGAAATTTCTGAGCCTGACAAATTCGAATCACCTGGAACAATAGAGATATGAGATGTAAATTATATTTACTTTAAAATGCAATAAATTTAAAAAGTTCAATATCATACTTCATTTTCTATAAAGTACTTCATAAATCCTTTAAAAGTATAAAAAGAAGAGGTTTATTTACATGCCACAAATTGGGTATAAATGGATAAACAATTATTTTTTTGACTGTATGTATGGCTGATATTACACTTCTACTATTATTGTATCCTTTTCGATCATAGAGACCTAAATTGTGTGTTTTTCTAACCAGATTTCTCCAACAGAATCCCAATAATATGTAACATCGATGTATGCGCCGATCAATGATATCAAGGATTTCTGATGCTTAAAATTCTCTTATAAATTTCGATTCTATTCAAAAAGCATTAAAACTTAATATTTCTTCCAAAAGAAAGCTTGATAGAAATTCGAATTTTAAACGTAATCAAAGTTTTCTATACGTAAGGGCTTGAAGAAACTTTAAAATAATAAATATAAAACGAAAATTCATCAAAATATCGACATTAGAACCTGCACCGTCTTTAATATAACGTTCTCGACGGTTTGTCGAGCCGATGAATTAAACATTCCATACATATAACCATTTTATAGAAATGGAAGTGCCTGCTAACGGTTTTATTTAACGGAACCCTACCTACCTACACCTACCTTACTTGACAATGAAATTGATCCAAAAGACTTTTGGAACGTATAAAAAATCCTATAATGACCTAAAAATAGTTTACTTTTATCAAACAGTTAATAACTCTAATATTATGAATATGCTTATTGTAAAGAATTGTAACTTAGTACGACTATATATCATGCTTAAAATATTAACAGTTGCGAAGTTGTTCAGTCTCAAATTATGATATTAAAACAAATTGCCCGCTACACAATAAAACTATAATAAAATAGAACTCTGTCAAATTTACCATATTATTATTACACCTGGACAATTCTCTCTCAAGTTCAGAAAGTTATTAAAATACAAATAATATGTAGGTAAATGATGACACATATATTTTATAAATTTATTTTCCCTCGGAACATTCTGGAACCACTGACCGCAAATTATCATGAGAGGCGGAAAACATTTTCATAATCTGTCTGTCTTACCCACGTTACGTGATACACACATTAAGATATTCAAATTACAAAAACAAAACACTGTTTATAAATGTCAATTACAAACAGAATAAAATGAGACAGGATGTGATGTAATATCATTAAAATCGACTTACAATGAGATTTCGATTCAAAGAAAAAAATCCATAATTTTATGATCACTTGATAAATAATTTAGTTTCTAAATTTTCAAATGTATCTCAATTCCTAAGCACAAACGATTATTTAAAATAAACGCACCTCTAGAAAGAAGAATTATAATATTTGTAGTTACAACATTAATTCTTTTGCACCAATTATTATCTTTATTAATGCTACTCAAGAGACATCATAGGACTATAAATATTTAAAGAACTTTCAATGGTCACGTTGAAAATAAACTTACAACAAATTAACCTAAACAAACTATACATTATTTTGATTTCCACGGAGCATTAAACTTGACACTTGTTCTTCTGTTTGGTTCGTAATTGAAGGGTAAAGTTAAGGAAACTTTTCCATTTCCTTAACTGTCCATACAAACTTTTATCTTTATTTTATACATATAATCTTTCTATATATTATTTATTGTTTTGCATATATTAGAAATAAGAGTATTTTTTGTCGTATACCATTTTTTCAATTTAAATAAAATTCAACAAAAAACTAAACTACTCTTTCTCACTTGGAGAAGGTTTGAGCATTAATCACCACGCTTGCTCAAGACGAGTTGGTGATTTCAAACTTATTATTGTGAAAATATAAGTCCAGTTTTCCTCACGATGTTTTCCTTCACCTTCTGCCAGGTGTCTATATACTCTCAGAACTTACATGTGACTCGGAAAAATCACATTGGTACTTGCCAGGATCGAACCCGCGCCCTCGTGCACGAGAAGCGGGCGTTTAACCACTAGGCCACCTCTGACCTACATAGGTATAATATCATCGAATTATTCAGTAATCGGTAATCACTATAATTTCTCCAAATCCACAAATCAATGTGTGTTAGACCACTGACCACTAATTCCAAACGTTATTTTCATTATGCTAACGTTAACGTTAAAATTACTTATAAGAATTATGTTTAATTAAAGTTTCTTCAACAATACATTTTTAAATAATATTTCCATAAAACTTAAATATAGGTATAAATATATAAGAACTTAGAATTAGAATTCATTTAAAGGATAAATTTTGCTGAACGCTAAGATTACGTCAATTATAATTAGCCCCGCGAATAATTTGAAAGATTATTACTATAATACTTTGAATATTGGACTAAAGACTGAAATTAGTACAAGCTGAAGGCTTTCTATTATAGTTTGCATATTTACGACTCATCTTAAAATTTTATGATCATTATCAATTGATAATAAGTAAGTATTAGTACCATTACTTCTGCAAATAACGTACTTATTTTATTTAGTTTTAGCTAATGATTGCAAAATATATCTTTATAATACATATGATGGCAATTAATATAATTGTGGGATAATAAATAAATAAGTGAATCATGTATATTTTCATGTGCATAAACAGTTGTCACTTACGTTCCCTCTTAAAATGAGATAGGGGTAAACCCATTAACATAGTCTAAAGAAATAATATTAAGTCAAATAATTTCCTATATAACGTTTCAAGAGGTAAAAATGAAGAAATAAAATAATAATAATGATAAATTTTAAGGTTGATAAAGATTAAAATTTCATACACTCTCACCATACATAATATATACATACATAATATAGAATTGTGCCTTTGATTTTTATCTCAATACATCGTATTTCCATATTTTGAGATCGCTTTTTTACGTGAGTGGGATTTTAAATTTACATTCATATTTACATTTGTAAGGTACAAGGATCATAAAGTGTTTTACATTATAAATTTACTCATTTAAATACCAAAAAATATTATAATTACAATATTATAAAACGAAACGTAACATTATGCTCATAATCATTCAGATAACTATAGATTTATTGTATATATCCACAATATATTTATTAAAATGCATATAAGAATAATGTTTTCTTTATATTACATAATACATGTTGAAATAATTTAAAATGGCTAATCTCATAATGATATTACTCATGTCAGTCGCAAGTTTTCTTTGTGTACTGATCAGTGTTATCTAATTCAGAAGTAAGGAAAAAATATCAAAAATACGTTTACTTCTACTTGTTTTATCAATCATAGTACATATAGCATTCTATATAATATCTTAAACGCAATATTCCGGAGGTTATAGGTTCAAATACTGATTGTGTCGACGAATCTTTTTGTTCTATACCTTATACTTAAATATGTAATTTAAATATTAGCACAATATTGACTTAATATAAAGGACGTACATGTAGAAATTAATAATAATATTAAAAGATTTTTTTATACTTAAAGTAATTGAATATTCTAATTAAGAAAAGTATATTTAATGAAACCTCAAACCGCGAACTCACGCGGGATACTGATAAGGTTTTCGTTCAACAAGCTTAATGTAATTACTCATAATAAATTAATAAAAATGCTCAAATATTATGACAAAAGATTTTAATAATTCAAAGCTCAGTTCAGGTCTGTAATATCTGATAAATCTTCATCAATGTAACTTAGTATTATTTCGTGTATGCACTTACACATTCACTCTTTAAGTAATTTGTTCTACATTAACATCAATTGAATTATTTTATATATTGGTCGTAAGAAACCCAAAAAAATCTAGCACATTTGGAGATAGTAAAATATATAATAAGGCAAGTTTTATTTTAGAGGATACAACTTCTAAATACATTGAATTAGCATTCATATTTATGGAAAGTAAATGACTATTTACATAATCTATCAACTATAGTTTTGAAAACTCTGTTCGAGCGTTAAATTGCGTGAACAATGCTATTCAAATATGTATATGCTCAGTTTTATAAAGTAGCAATCTTGCCGTCTTCTTTGTTAGAACAATTTTATTACTGAGTTTGAGAACATTTTCAGTTTTCTTCACATTGTCATTCAAAAGTAACTCCATATGTACATATTTGTGTAAGTTTCAAATTTGGTTAGGTAGAGAGAGAAGCTTGTACGATGAAGATGAGAGTTTAACGTGCGTTAGATAGGGGTCCATTAAACCTACACCTGGGTCGCAAGTCCCAGGCATTGTTGAAGCTCCTCTCCCTACAGTGATGGACCCAGCACCCGCACGGTGAATACATTGAATGCTCAGAGGTTTCACTGTTGTGGTACTTTTTGAATACAGGAGACTATAAGACCGTTCATCACGTAATACATGTGACATGACGTCACGTAAAGTGGCCTTTACGATCCCTGGTCATTTTGGTCATATAAAATGTCGCCTTCAAATTCGCTTATGCGCTGTTTCTTACGAAAAGTGTAAAAGAGACTTTTGGCTAAGGTTAAATGTAAGCTTGATATAGAATTCTAGAAATATTTGAACTATGGGTACTCATGCAATGATTTTTATTGAGTGACAAAAACACCCAGACTAATACAAATAATTTGGTTTAATTGAGTTTATGGCGTAATAAATAGAGATATTCGTTATTCTTCATTATCTAAGGACCTTCATATGGAAGCATTTCGGTATATAATAAAATAAATGAAACAAAATATATATTAATATTATTTTCAGATAAAACTACTGCTCCATTACAATACGTAAGATAATAATTGATAGAAAACTCTAAA